TCTCAGTCCTGAGAAGAAACACACTCCCAAACAAAGAACACAACCAAAAGAATTCCCCCCACCAAGATTTGAAAGTATCTTGTCCCCTTATTGGTCCTTTAGGTCAGATGCCAGCCAGGTTACCTGAGCTTCTTAACCCTTTACAGGTAAAAGGATTTTGGAGTCTCTGGCCAGGAGGGATTTTATAGTACTGTACACAGGACAGCTGTTACCCTTCCCTTTCTAGTTATGACACCCTCCCACCCACTCCAGCCCTGTTCCAGGAACCAGTCCCAGCTGTAGCTGCTGTCAGTGATGGATACACCCAAGACAGCGCAGGTCAGGGTGAGGGTCTCTCCGGGCTTCACTGCTCCTGGGCCGGACTGGACCAGCTGCACCTGGGCGTGGACACCTGGGAAAAGCAAAGCAGAGCAAAGAGAGAATTAGCCATGGAAATAATGTATGGTTCTGCCCCGAATTTCCCCACGTGTCCCATAGACACTCACAGGCGAAGGTGGAGAGCAGGGAAAGGAAAAGCCACAGAGATTTCATTCTCATTTTCATGCAATGAGGGAAACTCCCCAGAGGCCAGGACCGGGCAGGTCTGTGTTTTGGGAGGGACTGAAGCTCCTCGAATCAGGAGTTCGTTTTTAAACAGCAAGGCCCTGAGGAGGGATTTGCATGCGGGTTGCACCCAGTGGGTATAAGGTGAAAGGGAGCCGTGTAGGTTGGGAGTGTCGGCTCGGCTGGTGGAGTGGACAGTAACACGTCTTCATCACGTCTTGGCTGGGATGGGGGGGGGGGGTCACTGAACTGTGTGACAGCCTTTCCACTCAGTGTGATGTGCCTTAGGACAGGGCTCAACTGAGTCTGTGAATCCCAACCTCCAACAGGGCTACTGAGAAATGCATTGGGCATCTCCGAGAAACATAAACAGTGCACAGAAGCCGGCCCGGCCCTAGGCACCAGCGTTCCAAGCATGTGCTTGGGGCAGCACTTTTCAAGGGGCAGCACTCCGGTTTTTTGTTTGTTTGTTTTTTGTTGTTGTTGTTGTTGCTTGTGGCGGGAAAAACCTGGAGCCGGCCCTGAGAGTGACATGGTAAAAGGGCGCTTCACCGTCTCCAGAGATGACCCCAACAGCCTGTTGTACCTGCAGATGAACAGCCTGAAACCCGAGGACACCGCCCGGTATTACTGTGCGAGACACACACACACAGGGGAATCCCGACAGGGCTCATACAAAAACCCGAGCGGCAGAACTGCCCTTCTCCCGTGCGCCGCGCGGGGCAGCACTTCCACAAACAATCCAGCCCTGGGCACAGGAACGGGAGCTACAGACAGTGTGAATAAAAATCAGTCACTAGGCTTCAGAGCTCAATATCCATCTATGATCATGTGTCCATAAAACTGGGGCTTCTTGAATATTCACTGGTTTGAATGTGGCCCTTATCAGACACCAAAGTAAAAATGCACAGCACAGAAGAGGAGTATTTGGGGAATCAATTCTCAAGGTGTGATAACTAGGACTTGGATTTCAAAGGCACGGCCGGCTCTAGGCACCAGCAAAGCAAGCAGGTGCTTGGAGCGGCACATTTCCAGGGATGGCATTCCCGCCGACATGCTCAAAAATTCCAACATCAAGCCCCAGCTCTCC